CTTTTGGTAAGATTTAGTCCAAATATCTGTTTTATTGTAGATATCCCTGAGGAGTCGCCGTCACTCAGCCTCATTGAACCCAATAGGGAACCAGAGAGAATCACTTCACTAGACATGGTAGATCCCTCTGACTCTGAAATCGGTCGAGCCGTAAAGACCCAGAGCGTTGGACCTCACATTGCCTCATCCACGCCTCCTACAGTCTGGTTCTCCTCTCGCCTGTCGGAGCTGGACGCTCAGCTCGCTGCTCTACAGAACATTGCAGACTATCTGGAGAAGGACTTTTCCAACTCCAGGATGGTACATAAACTAGTTCTTTTTCTATTTATCCTGCTCATATTACTAATGACACCCAAATGTATTTATTTATTGTTTTTGAAGGCTGACAAATATATGTAATATAACATCCCTTGCTTGTCCTGCTTTGTTTCTGTAGCTGGTGAACACTATTGAAAAGCTCACCCCAGTCTTGGTGCCTGATGTGAAGACTGCCCCAGCAGTAAAAAAAACTGTCAGACTGTCTGTCCCACAGGAAGGTATGACCTAAAGCTATTCATCTGTAATAAAAGCCAAAACTGAATTGTGTTTTTAGATTGCATTGCAAGTCATTCAAACCCAGAAACAGAAAAACAAAGTTTTAATAGAGTAATATATAACACTGTAATATTGTTTAAAAGACTGTTGAACATTCCCTGTCTCTAATAGCATGGATGCCACGCCTGAACACTTCAACTGACCCAAATGCCTTTGAAGAAGATGATGAAAATCTGGAAGAAGAATGTGTGGTTCATAATGAGCTATCTTTTCGTTATGCCACTGCTTCTCATGGTCACAATGCTGGTCCTTCCTACCTTCACACCCCTCCAAGTAACGATGAAATTTAATCAAACATATATATTACATATATTAAATATTACATATTTAAACAAGTGGCTAGCACAATGGCAAACAACTGTATGTATAGTTGATGGAGAGATATTAAATTGTGTGCAAAGGGTAAAAGCAATGTAGCAACATATGGCGCAGTAATATCCTGAAAGCCACCTGCAACATTTTTCACCCAAAGATGCAAATGAGATTTAAGTCAACTGACCGGGGCACTCTTATTAACTCAGCTGATGCACTTTTTAAATCTACAAGAATAAGAATCACTCAGATATGTGGTTATTTTCACAGTACAGTCACAATGTTTGTGTTGCCCCCATAGAAATGAGAGATCAGCCGACTAAACCATCTGGAATATCTCCTGTGTAAGTTTAAGTCTGACGTATTTTAACCATGTTAATATGGATGTGCTTACCTCACTGATGTGCTTACCTCACTCTGCCCTTTACCTGTCCATCTCTAGATGGGCAGATGACAGTCTGGGTGAGACAGGGCTATCCGATACAGCAGAAATCTTAGACGAGTTGGTGAAGGAAGGGTATTTATCCCTGACTGACCTAGAATTGTCCAGTTCACAGACTGCACACCGAAGCAGGTATCTACTTAAATTCACTGCTGTCCAAATAACTACCCAAACAAACTATGATTTTCACTGAGCTGGAAAATAATGTGACCTCTAGCAGGCTGGACCAGCAGCAAAGTAGCGGGATGTCGCTGAAACGTGTCCTTCCAGAGGATGAGAGGAGAGAGCTGAGGATCTGGATGAGAAGGAAACAAAGGGAACGACTGGCTGTTTATCAAAAACACAGAGAGAGCCTGAGGGAGAGGGAGCACAAACCTTTTTCTACCTCTGGAACAGTTGTGAGATATGTTTGCCTCTTTACCAAAATTAATATTCCATTGTATGTTCTTAAAAAAAATATATGTATACACATATGTATTTATACATTCCTGTTCACCTGTTATGCCCCTGCAGAAACCAACAAACAGTAATCGAGCAACCAGTTGGAGAAGCAGAGAGGAAAAAGAAAAGTATGTACCTGTTTACATTGTCGGTGCACAATATGATATAGACATGCTTATGTATAACTGTTATTTCCATTGTATTTATTAGGCTCATTCTTCTGGAGCAATACAACCAGAGGACCCGTGAAGCCTGTTCATTGGCCAGTGACTTTCTCACCACTCCTTCAGCCATACACTGTTCTTCACAGACTGAGGGTTCACCAGTGCCCCCAAGTGCACGATCCAACTCAGCTCCACTCCTGGATAGCGCTCAAAGGTATTTCCTGCAACAGTAATCTGACCAGGATCTGTTCTCATTAAAGAATAATTGTACTCTGATCCAGCATTTGAACAAATCATTCATTTTTCATTAAAGGAGCTGTATGTGACGTTCGCTGCCACTAAATGTTGCACAGCATCTCAGACCAAAACAAATGGGCACTGTCGTGCACCAGACTCTATAGAGAAAACAGTAATTTTACCTTGCAGATCATCATAAAAAGACACCTTAGTCAAACTTCAAAGAATAAGATCCTTTTTCCACCAGAAGCACCTGTTATCGCTCTTGCTTGTCACCACTCTATTTGGGGGAAAAAAAAATTATTTAACCTTGCAGGTTAGACACACATTAAAACTCACACAGAACTTTTAATCATTCGTCAATGATCAGATCCTGTACAGACCCAAACCTATTTGTTCGAAACATCTACAATGTCTTTTTCTTAGGACTTACAGTGTATCTGCCAATGATAAAAGAATTCTAAAATCAGGACAAGCTCAACCCCACGTTCGTCCATGGACTGCTGAGATGCAGGCACGGCCTTCGGAGGATAACCGCAGGAGACTGGGACTACACAGACCAGGTATCATAATGACAGTCAGCTACATTGATGTCCTGTAGGTATTTTCACTATATTGTCAAATTCACTAAACGTGTTTGTTGCGTGAATTTTGTATTAGTTACCTCTCTGCCAAGGGACCGTCTGTCTCAGGTGACCAGACGTGGCATGCTCACTGACGCAAAGGGCCACACCAAACTGCACACAGCCAGTCAGAGTGAGGAACAGCATGTTGGATACCAGAAGAAGACAGGGGTGAACAAAAGTCTTTCGAAAGGAACGACTGCTGTAGGGAGAGGGATTCTGAGGGAGCAGACGAGGATGATGGAAGAGAGGGAAGAGGTCAACCTTTGGGAGCCTACTTCAGAATTCAATAGGCACCTGACCCAAGAGGAATCTACCATAGTAAGAATCACATTTGCATTATCCAGGGTGCAAACTATGGGGAAGCTTAGCTCCCCTTAATAAGACATCAGCTCCCCTAGAAGCATGATTTGTGATATTTTGGGGGGTCTCTAAAATACTGACAGCATGGTTTATTGCCATTCATTTCTATATTTCTCTATCATCATGGATCCATGCGTAAAATCAGGAGCGTCAGACTTCATCCAGCCAGAGGGAACGATCACCGACCGTCAGCTGCAGGCCGGTCACTGCACAATCTCCTGTCTCTGGACCTGTAGGCTCCACCGCCCCACCCCCTCTCCGATACAGGCTGTGCTGCTAGTACGAGCGACGCGCTGTGAACAGTTCGTGATCGCTTCCTCTGGCTGGATGAATATTACACGTGATCCATGCACCACTGCAGCTGGGGGTTCTCTGCAGCGTCATGCAACTTTCTAAATTCTTCCCTTTCACAGAGAAAAGAAAGGTCAGGTCAAAAACACGGCTATCAGGTGTTGTGTGAAGAGTAATTGTAGCAGAATGGCTACCGATGATGATGATGATAATAATAATTATGAGCCATTAATGATTCAGCAGTAAGAATCACAGCCTGTATCCCCCTCTCCTGGGGAAAAAAAAAAGTGAGCTCCCCCTAAAGCTATGGTATAGTTTGCACACTGATTATATTAGCCTTTGCTTGAAAGGAATGTAACTACTGTATATAGAAAGTAAGTAATAATTTGGTTAGTCAGTTTTGGTTAAAAGCTTTTGATAGCTTTTCTGTAAAATAACCGTAATGTTACAGTGTCACAAAAGTACATACTTTTTTCTTCATAGATAGTTTAATGTCTCTGGTTTCATACATTGTTGTTCACTTTTTAGATTTTGGCTGAACGTTTGGATGAACAGGATAATGGTGCCAGAGCTGTTGTGTCAGAGATGGACTGGCTAGACAACTTTTCTGAGACCGGCAGCAGTGTCCTCAGCAAAATAGACTGGGCAGCTATCGAAAGGATGGTGGCTGCAGAGGAAGCTTGAGTGTCACAAGAAAACGAAAAACACCACCACGTTGACAAGTAGATGGTATTTTGTTGGGGGAAAACTTTTATGTGCCTATTGAATATACTGTAAATCAGATGCATATTAAATTATGGTCATAGAAATTATAATGTAGGTATGTTTTAATAAATATGATATGATCAGCAGTGATATATATATAATGTGATGTAATCAATTTCATTTTCAGACATAATTTATAGTAAATAATTTGTGTATATTTGCTGCACTGACATCTGCAGTGATGTCCTTGAAAATTTAGATGTGTGTGAAGTTTTCTACAATTATAATTTATTTTTGTACAGACTCCACTGTCCCAACTATTAAATCTTTGGATTGATTTCAAAGCTGTTTCCTCTCAATTTCATTGTTTCATTGAGAGAGCTACTGACTGGATCACAGCCTGCCTGTTTTACCATTTGACGTATTTAAAGTTTTACCATTTGACGTATTTAAAGTTTACAGCATATATCATATAGATTGAAACGTGCCCAGTAATATTAAATGTTCTTTTATTGCCTTAAACACTGGCTTTTGCAGTAACGTTAGGTCTACAAACGTGTCCTACATTAGACAGATCCTATGTTATTTTCCTTTACAGCAGTCTTTATCATTTTTATCCACAGCATATGATCAAGACACGCTCACATTGCACTTAACACTGAAAAAGTGATATTGTATCAAAAATCCATTTTTTTTCTTTTATAACTGAGCTTTGCTGTGTAATCGTAAATGAAATGAGGCAAGAGCCGTGCACTTTGAAAACACTTGGAGCAGTCTATATACAGTTTATGGGAGCACCCTGCATTCGCTCTTCCTCAAAAAGCGCAACAGAAGAAGAAAACGATGAAAGAACTTCCGGAGGTCAAAGGTAATCTTCGTATTTGAAAACATGGATCCCAACAAAGTGGATGAAGGTAGCAACTTTGTGCTGTCACACGTTTTTTAGTTTTGTATATTCATTTTATTCGACTTACTTGTATGGGTGGTATACTGAGCTGTATTTCTAGTTAGTTTGACGTGTATCAGCGAGCTGCCTTAGTAAGCCAGTAAAGTTATGTGAAAAGAAGCCGGCGTCGTTGCTGTTTTGCTAGTTTATTTGTTAGCTTAACAGTTCTGCTCTGCCATGGTGTACAACACTTTCCACTATATAACGTTAGCTTTAGTCAACTGTCTTTCAAAGGAGAACGATTTGCTGCTCTACCAGTGTTAAATTATATCCATTCTGTCAAGTTAAAATAATAACGTCACATTATTTTTTGTAGCTAACAGCTAAGGTTCAATATTTAACGTTATTCTGTGAATCTGTAAACTTGACGTATGTCTAGCATTGTTTGTTACTCAAATCAAGCTCACTGAAGGCATGGATATTTTACATAATAACAGTTAACAGGTTTTTAAGAATGCAGAATTTCAGACCACAATATATAAAAGTTGATGTGTGGGTGCCAAATATGTGTTGTAACTTTAACTTAGAGGTATTTACTCCACGCTGTTTTCTTTTAACGTTATTGTTTGTGCCAGTTTTTTTTGGTATGGGAGGGCCCTTTATATTGTCGTTCATGTGGTTCTTTCTGTCGATACTGAGTATTTTTTATGCCCTTTAGAATAATTATCTCCCTTAAAAGACCCCTCTAGGGGTCATAGCTGCATTCTATGTTTTTGAGCCTTCACATCCAAAGCAAATTCATGTCATGACAATTTTCCAGTGGAGTACATTTGCTTGAGTACTGTCCTTAAATACAATTTAGAGGTGCTTGTACTTTACTTATATTAGGGTTATGCTAAGACTAGTATTTTGTAGTTGAATTCCTCATTTTTCAAGACTGGTATTGTTTCCCTTCAGTAAAATACAAATAAAAAAAATAAAATAAAAATCTTTTCCCACCTATGCAGTACCTTTAGCGATCATAATGATAATAATAAACCTTTACTTTAGTAAACAGTCATGACAAGTGTGTTGTAATAAAAATTAGTGGTGCTTACTGATTTAATGCATTCTTTTTGCACTGTGAAGAGGGAAATCCCAGGTAATCAGTTTGTAATGAATGACAGGTTGTTTCTTAATTCAAAATAGATTTGGGGTTTAAAATTCAAATAAGCAAGGGGAGTAAACGGGGTTAAATGACAGTTTGAATTCAGGACTTGTACTTGTAACAGAGTATTTCTACACTGTGGCATTACTACTTTAACTTTGTAGTGCTGTAATTTTGACAATCAACAAGATAACCCAAGCAATGATAGATTTTCTCACCTCTTTTGCAGCATCTGGCAAGATGAGTGGTGATGGAGACATGGCATCTGTCATGGGATTCTCAGGGTTTGGTATGTACAACACATATGGTCACTAATTTGACATATTTTCTTTCTTATACTATTAACTGACCATATGGGTCGTGTCAGTTATTGTTATAGTTAACTGTCTTTGTTCCCTCCAGGTAAGAAGGCTCGCACATTTGACCTGGATGCCATCTTTGAACAGACCCGTCGCACAGCCATTGAGAGGAGTCAGCGTATGTTAGGTAGGTTTACCAACATGATGAGCAGTTTAGTAGTTGTCCTGTCACAAGGTGTACTTTACTGCACTGTAATTGTTTAATTCCTTAGATGAGCGGCAGAAGGATAGTCAGATGGAGGAGGAAGGGGAGAGCTCCAAATCGGTCAACTCATCAGTCCAGAGAGAAAAAGCTGCAGCTACTACTTCCAGGTAACCAGGAATTTTCTGTTTGAGTGAATACAGTATTACAACCTGCCACTGCCTTAGAGGTTAGTTACAAGTCTGTTATTCAAGCAGTAAGATACGTTTTTGCTTTGACTGACAATGATGTTTATTTTTTCCTTTTTTTAGAAAACAGGAAAGTGAGAGCAGTAGTGACAGTGGTTCAGACTCAGATCTTATTGGGCCTCCACTGCCTCCTCAACATACAGCCCAGGACGACGATGATGCTGATGAGCGCGTGCGACTGCATCATCCACCAGGTTACAGAGGCAGCCCGGCTCACAGCGATGAAGGGGAGGCACAAGATGACGATGATGACGTATGTGTGAAATGTACCGCTTAACAGTAGGCATTAGGTGTATCACTAAATATTTCCCAATAGGTTGACGAGGTGAAATCTTTCTTCCTGCTGCCTCAGATAGGCCTTTTTCACATCCGACTTTTTGACTTGTTATAGCAGGAAAAGCACAGGTGTTACAAATAAACTTTAACATTGGCTCTGTTTTTTTTTTCAAGTGTCCCATTAAGCCATGACGGTGAGATAGCATGCACTATACCAGGACCCTGAAACCAAAGCAGCTATATGGAATTCACCACTAGATGGCAGCACAAGAAAATACAATCAGTAGTCAGTGATGCACTATACAGGGTTTAACAACCATGATCTTGCGCTACTGAACAGTAACTTAAGTGTTGTCTCTCAGGTGTTTTCTCCTGTTTTGTTTCTTTTACCAAAAAGGCGATGCATTAATGAAGTTCCTAAGTTTTTACATCCAGCAGTGAGTCATTTGCAGCTGAAGACTGTGATTCCAGACATTTTTTTGTCATACAGGTCATTAAAGTTAAAATGTGTAATTAAATCTTGGGATGAAATGCTACACTTGAACTACACACCTAATCCAGCGTTTGTCAGTCTTTTACCGTTTCCTTATGTTTCCACCCTAGAATCCAGTGAAGAAGATTCCAGACACTCATGAAATCACTCTGCAGCACGGCACCAAGACAGTAAGGACTTAGCTGTTGCTTTTGTGGCTCTATGGAAGTATATTTAATGACTTGACTCTGTTAGAAAGGAGGTCTATATTCATCGTAAGTGGCTTGTAATCAACACCATATTTTATTTACATTATGCACACACTAAACAGCTGGATATCTGCATCTGTTATTTGATTTTCAGCCAAGGTCACCTAACTGTTCTATATTTGACCAATAAGAGCAGATGGAAGTCAGTTTCCCTTGATACTTTGTAGTTGCAAGAAAAAGGATACATTCTGTGTTGAGGTCTCTGTGACTTCTGCATAAAGCCAATCTGGTATCCAGATCCAGTGCTGATCTAAATAATTTGATCATTACACAAGAACCAACTTTAGTTTGCTTCATTTTAGCTTCCTTTTAGAGGATGCAGTGTAACTACACTGTCAAAGCAGCAGAAGCTTCCGCAGTTGGTTTTCCTCTGACCACTACAGGCTTAGTTAGTTTTAAAGAAGACCGTTGTCTCCTCAGGTATCAGCTCTTGGCTTAGATCCCTCTGGAGCTCGTCTGGTGACTGGTGGGTACGATTATGATGTGCGCTTCTGGGATTTTGCTGGGATGGACCAGGCTCTGCAGGCCTTCCGATCCCTCCAGCCTTGTGAGTGGTGAGTCAATTTCTGAGAACACAATGTGAAACATCAACACAGTTGCTTAACATGTGGTTAATTAGTTTGATGCAAACACCCAGTACACTCACTGCATTTACATGTGCCAGAGTGTACACACACACACACACACACACACACACACACTTGTTGAGCTTCATTGAGCCTCATGTTAACTCTGTGACATCCTCTCTTTTCATTCAAAATGAGCCTTCCAGAAGCAGATGGTAGAGAAATGTGGGTGTTTGTGTGTCTGTGCGTGTTTATTCTGTGTTTCACCGAGGCCATCATCAAAGATCGAATTCTTTTTTGGTTTTGGGAACCAGTGGGCTGAGCTGGAGCAGGCCTCCTCTTATTAACAGGAATGTACGCTACATTAAATTTGATTACAGTGTGATCCGGTAGTCTGTTTGGTTTACTAACAACCTGGGCTTCATATAGAAAGCTGTGCTGTTGAGGGCCGCTGTTCCTCTTTGAGGAAAATGAGCATTTGGTGCTATGAAGTGAGCCTTTGAAGAGGACTCACCCAGGTTAACTAGTCCAAACAGTTATCTCTTCAATTGTGTGCACTGCTGTGCATTGTAGAATTATGTGTTTCTTAGTTCGTCATTGTAAAATTGAAAACATCAACATGCCATATCCATTCTGATTTTTAATTTGCATCCCAAATCATTTTTCTTGTGGTACATGTTTGTAATAACAGATTTTAGGTATGTTTATTGCCTTTCTGTGTGTTTCATTATGTATTGAGTATTATCATTCTTTCCATTCTTAGCTTTAAAAAGCTAAAATGTTCGCTGTGTGTTTGTTGCCTGTCATAGATCAGAGAGACCAGACGTCAGATGTAAATAAGATGGTGTGTTGTTTTTTGCCTATAGCTACATTTATCTTTTGTTTGTTTTTTGTTCCTGAGCTGTCTGAAAGATTAAAAGCTTATCATATAACAATGTCTGGTGCAGAAGTCTTCACAGCGTGCAGATGACTTGCAAACAGGCACCAGATACTTATCAGCACCACACAAATCCAAACAAAATTTGTCTTCTTTATCTCAGATGTCCTCCTCGTGTCTGTGTGTGTCTCCCCTCAGCCATCAGATCAGGTCCCTGCAGTACAGCATCACTGGTGATGTCATTCTGGTCGTTTCTGGCAATGCACAGGCCAAGGTGCTGGACCGTGATGGCTTCAATGTCATGGAGTGCATTAAGGGAGACCAGTACATTGTGGATATGGCCAACACCAAGGTAAAGTTGTGGTTTAATAGAACTTGGGTTGTGTTTTCATAGTTTTGGCTGTTGTTTAAAGTGGTTATTATAACATTGTAACAAAGTAATTGGTGAGATCTGGCAACATGGCGACACGGTCTGACAGATCAAAAAAGGAGACAGATTGTGGAAACTACTGGGGCATCTCACTTCTGTCCACAGCCTAGATAGATTGAAAGATTGCCCGCATTGTCTTCAAGAGACTCCTCCCACTATCAGAAGAAATCCTCCCAGAATCCCAGTGTGGTATTTGTTACCATGGCGCCAAATGACATGATTTTCATAGCCGGACAGTTACGAGAAAAATGCAAGGAACAAAAACAACCACTATAAATGGTCTTCATTGACCTTATCAAAGCTTTTGACTCTGTAAACCGTCAGGCGATCTGGACAAAACTGTCAAAGTATGGATGGTTGGAATTGTACATTAGGATTCTGAGGCTTCTTCACAACCACATGTCAGCAAAGTCCTCTATTATGGCAGTGAGACAAACCTTTCAAAGCGTAAAACAAGGATGCGTTATTGACCCTTTTCACAGTTTTCATTGCAGCAATTCTCCACCTAATTGGTCGCGGCTTACCCTCCATCATCCAGATCATCTATAGAACTGATGGCCAGCTGCTCAATTTAACCGTTTGAAGGCCAAACCCAAGATCTTTAACACATCCATTGTGGAACTGCAATATGCAGATAATAACGCCATCATACTCGACTTCAAGTGATCGCCGATGATGATGGCACGTGTGATGGGCCAAAGTTGAACCACAAAGTTTCCTTCCATTTTGTCTTCCAGATAAGTTTGGCATACCTGGGTGTTTGATCTGATAATCGAGTTTGTGTTTCTTGTCCTGTCTGATTTCTATTTAGCGATGATGCAGCATTCCCAGATTTCAGCAATTATCTTTGTGTGTACCTTGTTATCATAACTTATTAGTGATTTTTTTATTTTATTTTTTGGCCAACAGAAACGCGTTGTGAACACAACACTGAAATATCATCACATTGATGTGGCAAACGTGATAGCAAACAGTTACTTATTTACATGTCCAGCTGTTAAAGAGCCAACAATATTATGTTTCTGTTCCACTTGATGAAATTAAGTCCAATCTCCACTCTCCTTCAGCTTTGTTTTTAGTCTCTACCAACTCCTGAGGAAAATATCTGGCTTCGTAGCTGCTAAATGGTCTTTTATGTTCACCAGCTGGTTGCTAAATGTGTCTGACTGCTGTTTGGTCTTGAACAGGTAGTATACATTTAGATTTTATAGCTTTTTCACTAAAAACAGCTGTCTGCTGCAGCTGAAAGTTATGCTACGAGAGTGAACCAAAACAGTAAAGTTGGGTGTTGAGCTCCTTAAAGCACAGACGGGCTGCAGATTCAGGTTATAATTCTGTGTAGGTTCATCACTTTGAACGACCCCTTTCACATTGTCACATTGATACATTGTTATTACAAAATGATTGATTATGTTACAGGTATTCGTGTTTTCACTTCCTTAGCAACAGAATAGTGCCCAAGAGGCTGGATACTCTGCTCTTCTGCTCTGTGGGTTTATCCTGCCAATGCATAATTGTAGAAAGGTGTAGCCATGAGTTGGTGTGTTTTTGTACATGAGGATAATGGTCTGTGCTGTGTGACCAGCCACAGGCAGTCTCAGGGGGAGAGGAACAACACATGCTTTCAGGACTGTTGTGGTTCATCTCTTGCTTATATACCTGCATCTACAAAGGAGGATCCTAATTATGTGCCCATGGTTTGGTTTTACTGTGTTTAAGAAAGCTGTATTGGTGGTCACCAACCATCTGTGCCAGCTGCAGTGTATTTACACATGGTTTATGCCATCCATATGAATGACTTGAACAAGTGAAGGCCCATTGATTACAAGTAGTGTTTTCCTCAATGTCCTACATTCTTGTCCTGCTCAGTCCCATCTGGAGCTGATGGGAGCGTTTGGTTCAATGAGAATGCGTTTTGGCCCGCTGACAGTGTCCCAGTCGATTAGCTGTGTCTCATATGATAATTACCTCCTTGCTTCTATTCTGCCTCTGTTGACAGACAATACTTGCTGCCTCCCTCACCCCACACAGAGGTCTATATTACACATGCTGTAGAATGGCATGATATGTTTATATATTTTTTTATTCTTCAGCACAGTTTCCAATATCCCAAAATCTTCAAATTGGTAATTTTGTTCAACCGAAACCCAGAGAGAGAAAAACAGAGGGAAGAAGCAAATCCTGAGAAGCTGAAACCAGAGAATGTTTTCGCCTTCATAGGTGACTTAAATAGCAAACTAAATTGCTGTCAATAAACTTTCTGTCAGTTCAGTTTAGTTTATTGATTTATTGACATTTCAGCTCCAAGTTTTTGTCACTTAATTCATTGATTAATCAGCTCATCCTTCCAGCACTCCTAAATCTAGCCTAAGATAGATTCAATTGCAATGAAACAAACTAGGCATGCCAGTATTGTCCCCAACAAGTCACTTCCTGTTATCAGGGAGGTTTCTATTCTTGGCTCTGTTTGTCATCAACATGTTCCATTTTGTTTACTGTAAGTATATATTATGAGTCTGTTTCTCTTTAGTCATTGCCAATTGGTTGTCCTAAATTGTTGAGGAAGAGGAATCAGATTTGTTTAGGAAGGTAGAGACTCTCTCATTCCTAATCATGAAGCTCTTGTGAAGGATGACTCTGTTTATTTTGATGTTATTGCACAGAGCAGGGAGGCAGCCATTCATGGCCCATTTGAGCTTTAACCTCATCATATAGGGGGTGTGTATTTGACCATAAAATTTAACAACACTGCAATTTGTTATTAGTCTTTTTTGGTCATTAAACAGCAGGGCCTAAGCTGTTCCCTTTTATCAATTATTAAAGCGGTGTGTCTGAAGTATCTGACAGTGAGCAGGCAGGCCTCTTCTCCTGATGCACACATACCAATGTCATTTAGTCAACTTCTGCTCATGCAAGGCTCTGCTTTCTTGAGCATCCTGTCAAATAGCAGCATGTCATGTTTGAAGCATCTTTGCAGCACACTGAAGTGTTCCTCTCTGACCTGGCAGTGGGGTGGGGGTGGCTCTCTCTAGGTAATCCCACTTTGAAGTCATGTGTTATGAGTAATTCTCCACAGGACTTCTACAGCTGAGGAAATTTCTAAAAGTTACTCTTTGTAGGAGCTCGCTGTTTGAAGCGGTGACACAGCCACTTCAGAGTTCACTGGCTCAGTTGTAAGGCAACGCCTATGTCAAAAAAGGCCAAAAATCAAGGTTACAATATGATCAAATTAAAGTTTCAGAGAGCCTTTCCTCAAGGAAGGGTCCTTTAAGGTGCATCAGATTATGCATAATTGGTTCCTCCCGGGAACTTTAGTTTGTGTAATAGATGACTGAGTCTCTGTGGATACACCATCTTTTTCCCTTTTCCCACCAGCTCTTACTTTTTTCAACAGCTGCAGGTGGTCTCTAAATATCAAATTTGTTTGAAAACAGTTTTAGGGCAAATGGCAGCCCTAAATGTCCACATTACAGACTGGATCCTCAGCAAATTCACAGGTTTGCTGCACCTCGAAGCGACTGATCAGGTCAGCAACTGTTTAGTACTTTACGTTAATTTTCACTTTCTGCTCTTTTCAGGGCCACACAGCGATGCTGAATTGTGGCTGCTGGCATCCCAAGATTAAAGAAGAATTCCTGACTTGCTCCAATGATGGGTAAGTTTTAAATAAGTGCTGTGAGCTCTGAGTTGTAGGTAGAATCTATTACTTTCCTTCTCTATATTGTCCACACTGTAAACCTGAACAATCACGGTTTAATCCTTTACATTTTCAGGAGAGAGTAACATCCATTAATAATAATTAATAATCCACAATAAGTTTATTCCCATTAAGTCACTAATTTATAGTAAAACAAGATGATTTGAATTTATATCATTCTTTCTGTTGAAACTTTGAGATCAAGAAATATAAACTTGGATTTTGATTTAGGAAACTTTTGAAATAACTATTAACTAATGTTGGTAAAAATGATTACCTTGACCCCTCCTCACCAGGTAATTTCACAGGTATAATGAGGGGCTGGGTGACAGCTTGGAGAGTTACTTTGTTATGACTGAGGGAGGAGGACTGAAACAGATTAGTTACTGTATTGTAAGATTATCTGAAGAGTTTAAGTTTACAGGTTCTGTTGAAAGTCAACCATGGAGAATTTGTTTTTTGACGTAATAAATCTTGTATTTGAACGAAACGGAAGGATCTCCGCGAGTGCTTTTACACACACGAGTCACTATCCTCCAGGACAAGTGAAATTGTTTTTGGATGTGGCATATTTGCTGATAACATTAATACACACACCTCCCGAACATTACGACTACTTGCCCAACATTTATTCAGAATCCTTTTTACTGTGCACCTAACTTGTGCATGTCACGTGCAGGGCAATGTTCAAGACTCTTCATTGCTCTCATGTCACCAGCAGGGAGTCCTCTAGTCCAGATTATGCCTCTGGAAAAGAGTAGCTTAGCCTCACAGCTGCGCATTGACACATGGCACCTTTTATATTGGATGTAGACCAAATGCCGCTCTTTATTTGTATGCAGTGATTTGGGCCAGAGAAACACTGCTGGAGATAACAAGACGACACACACACATACATATTTTCTGCCTCCTTAAAGCATTGCTAGTCCTCTATGACTGCAGAAGCTGTATCCCTTTGCCCTGTGTATAGATGTGAGTGAATATTTGTGAGTGAATACGTGTGACTTTGAGCAAGACCACAGTGATGAGTCTAAGTGAGTGTGACAGGCAGCAATGCAGAAATCCTGGGCTATCATCATTAAGTGGAAACAAGGGCTTGGCTTTGTAGGCAGGCCGTGGCCCAGTGTTTACCAGTGTTACTGCTCTCCCAGATGTGGAGGCTGGTTTATTTAGCTCTTATTGAGGCTCTGGAAATCCTCCCCTGGCACGTTAGCACTGGATGTTGCCCCTGGCCAGCACACAGGAGAACAGAGGAGAGGAGTGCCCAGGGAACCATTCACAGGCGGAGCAGCTGCATGTGAGGAGTGTTCACAGCAGAGCAGGTCGGCACAGCAACCTGAGTCTCAGAGATGTAAAGAGGTTGTGACCAAGAGAGCAAAGAGAGGGAGGCACTGCCTGTAGTGATTTACAGGTGAAATGCGGTGTACATGTAACCCCATGTCAAATCTCAATGCAGATGCACAATGTAAAGTCCAGTGCAATTTGTGATAACGTCATGTACCTGGATTTCTTGGTCAACCCAGTACCCCTCAAACTTCCCACTTCAAATAAAGCCCCCCCTCATTCCTCTAGTGCAAATAGAATATAGCCGCCAGGGTGTAAACAGATACCAGACATACCCATAACGATACTTTAGTCCCTGTTTCTGTACTCTGGTGACTCATTTTCAGAATTAAACATTTAGGATTTTAGAATGCATTTTTTTTGTTAGTCAGTTGTTGTTGTTGTTGTTTTTTTTGCCTTGGTAAATTTGAGCATCTTTGAGAAGACAACCTTAGATTTTCAGCACAGAGCTCCTGTTGCTGTACAGCTAGACAAAAGGTCTACAATTTGGGGGGCCGTGGGAGGGTGTTTGCTAGATTGACAGGGGTTTCAGTCTATTACACTCTGTTGTGGTGGTTGCCTCTTGCTCATCCCTCTTTAGCTCCATCAGTTCCTTTCTTTGCCCCTCACCACCCTTAAACAACTATGGAGTCTGTAGAGGCCATACTGTAGTCAGTGGGCCTCTGAGAATGGACCAGCAGTTGGCCAATAGAACCAGTGGGTGTCTGCTACTGGCTGTATCTACTTAAACATCAGAGAGACACCAAGGTTTTCTCTCATTCTTCCTGTCCTAGTTAGTGAGGCTTTGTTGTGTTTATTTGAATAGGTTATTAAGCATGATCACTGGACCGCCCAGCTCCTTAATTAAAAAGTCCCCGTAGTTATATGGAATCTTATTCATAAGAACTACCTCCCAGTACCATGAATGATTTCATTTATCCAGAGTTTTTTTCCCTGTGAGGGAAGTACTGATGAAGCATCATAATGCAGCAGCAGGGTGGTAGTGATTGTCCTTGGTTTGAATGGGGCTTCAGCTGAACTGTGCGACTTTCACTGTCAGTCAGTGAAAAGCATTTCTGCTTGGACTGGTGTGAACATGTCAACATTTCACATTCTTCTTCTGTTTGAGAGTCGTGTGGTTGTTAAAACGGCGAGATGTTTTCCAACACGGTAGATCCAAGTGTCCAAATGAGACACTTTCACTGAGTCTTTGCTGAAACACCTGTTTGAAAACCGCAGATTTGTCAATATGTGCTGGGTCTATTCCCGGTGGAAGGATTTCTTTGGCAGAAGTCAACTAAAAATATGGCTGGGACCTTTTGTGAGCTGCAGCCTTTTCTAATGATCTAAACCCTAGTGGCTTGAATAAGTTCTGTAAAAAGTTAACAAACCACATTGCATACTGTGGAATTGTTAACTATAACATTGTAGAAAGCTTTGAATTAGTGGCTTCAAGGACATGACATTGCTGATTCTTGGTTTTACTTTATGCAGTTTTATAGTGCCCCAGGAGGACGATCAAAAATTCATGTTATGCTCTTTCTTTGACTGAAATTTCAGCCAGTGGAGCAGAGGATAGGACAAACGGCGACTTTCTAATTGGGGCCACATGTTATTTCTGTTGAGACACACTCGCACATGTGTACACACAAATACACACAATTTGAGGAATGTTTCCAGGAGGTTTGAATGCCAGGGATTCCCTTCATGCTGGCCTTCTGTCAGAGCTGCAGCTGGATTTGGATGTGTAGCTGTATGCAAGAAGACTGAGAGGACAACATGGCAGGTCTTTTTTTTTTTTTTTTTAACTGCTGAGGAACAAACTGTTTGTCTTTACCATGCGCTCCAAACATCTGTTTGTCAATGCTCTCAGTCCTATGCTTGGTGATAGCTTAGTTTTGATTTTATTTTATTTTATTTTTTTTGAGGGGAAAGGGCATTACTGCTGAGTTATTATGTGTGATCTGCGTGACAGAACAGGGATGAAGAGTGAGGACAGACATCACATAGTGCGTGTGAGCATGTTGGGGCGATTCACACAGTTTTAACACATCAGGTTCATCCACAGTCCAGTTCGTCTCCAACTGCTGCCCGCCTTACACTTCAAGTGTTCCATATCCTGCCCAAGAACGCACATACCATACCTTTAAGGAGCGCTTATCCTCCTTGTTCAATTTACAGTCCGAGTGGCTGAATATTTGACTGACGTTAACCTCTAGTTCTTTAGTGTGTGAATGCAGTGTTTGTTTCTTTTTCTATTGAACTAAATATGGGGCCATTTCCTCCCTGGAAGGGAAAACATCTTATCAGGTTGCTTGATTTAAATCTGAAGAGCTGTCTTGATTTTCTTTTAGCTTGAGTCAAGCATTTTGAGCCTGTAGTGTGTGGTCTCACCTACCATGCTGTGTCCTTTTCAGGTTGATTTTCTACTTTGAAGCCACACTAATAATGCTGTGAACATCTGTGCTTAGACCAGTTTCTTCTTTTAGCTTCCTTGCTTGAGTGCCACTGTGGGTATGCCTCCTCACAAATCCTTCTGTTGTTTCCCCACTTTATCTTCTTCAGCTCCGATACAAGATGGAGCATCTCCCCCTCCTAATCCGCCTTTCTAATAACAGAGCCCCAGTCAGTCAGTCAACCGGCCATCGGGCAACACAGCCTAGCCCCATCACCGGAATTCGACCAATAAACAACCATATACAAGACATACACCTTTCTTATCCCTTTTTCTTCCTTATCTCACCATCTGGGAAAGTGATCCTAACAACCATCATCCCCACAAGGCCTATTACCTGACGGACAGATAAAATCTGGGGCCTGGAAAGTTGTCACTCCTCAGTTGATGTGTGAATGACTATGCTACCTCGTAAAGTGCACATGCATGACTGAGGATGTATGGGTCTCATTTTATTACATTCACCCCTCTGCCTCTGAAGCATTTGTGCGGGAAAAAGGGGGCTGTTGATTGAAGGGAAAACAGGGAAGAGGAGTGGCCAAAGGTATTGCCCTCAAATGTTTTTGGTGGTTTCTTCATGACGAATGTGAATATTTTGACATGTCATACTCTTTCACTGCTATTGCATTCCCAACACAACCACCTGCTCTGAGAGAATAAGGTTTGAGACTGCCCCAGATGATGTAAAAAGTGCAACTTAAATTAGGTAAATGCAGTTCATTACAGTTATTACTTCTTTGTTACTCTAATGGAGGACGGAAAGTTTTTACACTTTAACAAGTCTGGAGTACCACATATTAGAGGTTTCCCTTCTCTTGCCCTGCTGTGTGTTTTGCTCCTGACAGGTGACGGTGTGCAGTCTTCGCCCTGTGCTCATGTTCGGCTCAACACTGGTGGGCTCCAACCTCTCTGTTCTGTCCCCCTGACAGCCAGCACTGCCATGTTTTGGAAAGAGCCCTTACGATAAATAGCATTCCAGGTTTTGTGTGCTACGCGAAAGGTTATGTTGTCTTTATTGGCTTGACAGACGCCTACAGTCTCTAAAGAAAATAGAGATGTCTGTGTGAGGCAGCAGGTGGACCAATTTTTCATCCTGTCCATGGCTATCACTCTTTCTCTTCCCTTCTCACACATATGCATGTATCTACTCATGTAAAGACTTACTGGACAATGCAGTAGCCTTCACATTATACTAGGCAAACTCCTTATATATGTGGCTTTTGCGTCTTTTTTCCCAGCAAGAGATTTGTGGATTTATTAACAGCTTTGGTTTGTGTGGATTTAAACACATCCATGCATCAAACAGAGTTTTACTTGACCCTTCTCCCTCAAACCGTATGTCTTCGGCTAGGATCTGTATCACATTGTTAGACTTATCCAAACACAGTTGAGTGTGTGTGTGTGTGTCTGTAACTTTGTAGCCAGCCACGGAGGAATCCTTGCCTAGATGTTAGTAGCAGCCCTGCCTATATGTTTATACTCCTCTGCTGACCTCATGACCCAAAGGTCACGATGCTCACTAAAGTAAGCAGTGGGTCACAGACACATTTGGATACACTCTGTCTGGCATGAGTGTTGGTGTGTGAGAGGTTGGCTAAACATGTTTGTGTGTACTGTGTAGTCAGGTAGCCTAGTTCAACAAATAAACATGGAGATTTTTAGGCTCTTGAGGTGCTGGTGGGCACCCTCAGCATGTCTGTTTTGTTATAAGTTTTGTTTTCTTATTTATCAGTTTCTATGTTTCTTTTCCTTTTTCGTCCTCCCTCATCAACTTTTTGGTTTTCACAAAAGCCCTGAAAAGATACAGAACTAGCTGAATGAAAAGACAAGCAATGACATTAGGTGGGTAGAAGTTGTGTACAACATCCCTTGCTTGAACATCCTCTAGACAGCAAGCCATGCCAATGGGGTCAAAGGTGAAATGTTCCAACTTGTTTTAACCTAAACAACTTGGTGTTCTCAGATCATTTTACACTCTACTTTGAAATTCAAAGTATGTGGAAATACTGACAACTGCTTTGACCAGTCTAAATAATCTTCTTGCTCTAAGGGCTTTTATAGTAACTTTATTCTTTTTGTTTTAATTTTAAGTCACATGAAGACTGCAAGGAATGAATGATCATTTGAAAGTTAAGACGTGTGTTGCTGTGTTGTATAGGTCCTGTTTGTGTGCATGTGTGTGTCCTTCGGACCTGTGTGTAAAGAATACTAACAGAGTGAAAACATTGACTTTCCCCTCGCGGGATTAAATATAGTATATCATCTTTTTCTTCTTGACAAACATGGCGACTTTCATGTAAGGGGACCCGCAGTGTATGTAGATAGAAATGGCTCATTCTAAGGTAATAAAAACATAACGGTTCATTAGGTAAGGTATTTTATTCCTCTAAAAACATAGTTATTGATAATGAATTGCATTTCTGTCAATAGATCCTTCTAAATATTACACACTAGACTTTTTAATATGAGAAAAATAACACAATTTTAATTAGCATAATGAGTGCAGTATTTGAAATGTATGAGAAATCTGCATTTAATTCCTCCATCTCAGTGGTCCAGGTTGTGTAATGTGTTCAAAGACTTCATAGAAACTTCAGACATGCCTGTCAGACTGATTTACTGTTTATTAATGCCCTCACCCTGCAACACATAGCTGCCCAACCTTATGTTCATGAGAATGGCTGAAGCACACTGTATCTTGATATAATTCTGATTTATTACGGTGGCGGATGGTGTTGATGACCAAATATGTTCTGAGGGATAGATTTGTTTTTTTATGAGTGATTCATGGCAATTGGGTGAGGATAAATTACATTCTCTGTCTGTCCACAGCACTGTGCGCACATGGGACTTGCACTCAGAGAAGAAGCACAAGTCTGTGTTCAAACCACGCACCCTCCAGGGGAAAAAAGTCACCCCCACGTGTTGCACCTACAGCCGCGATGGGAAGCTCATTGCGGCAGGCTGCCAGGATGGCACCATCCAGATCTGGGACAGAAACCTTAGCGTGAGTCTTAAAGCACACACATACCAACCAGCCCAATGTGCAGTAGGTTGTAAACATAGGATGTCTGTTTTGTTATGGCCTCGGTTGTGGAGTCATAAGACTCGGGTCAACTGGTCACAGGCCAGAGAGGTCAGAGTTCAACAAGTCACCAGCACTGACCAGAATTCAAAACGACTGGCTTTAAGATGCATTTGTTCAAACTGCGCGGGTAGTTGAGAATATTATTAAATAACCTGTATGACCTGTTTTGACCCTGGTATCACATTAACCAGGTACATGGAAGTGAGCTCTCATTCAATCCAAACTCTGGAAAAACATAAGTCTACAGCCAAGTTAGAGGCTCTGTGAGGCTTTACTTGGACACAGTAGTGCTTTGAGCTAAATACTGAAAAGTTTATCATGTTCACAATCTTAGTTTAGTGTGTTAGCATGCCAACAGTCGCTAATTAGCCCCAGTACAGCACTGGTTGATGGGAATGTAATTCAGCTGTGCAGGTATTTGGCCATAAACCAAAGTAACTGACACATTTAAATTCAATCTGACGATGGCGCTACATGAAACATTAAGGGATCATCAAAATGGTCTGATAGTTATTGAGCTATTTTACTCTGAATCAAAGTGGTGGGCCGACCGTCAGACCGACGTTGCCATTCTTAGGACCACGCCACTAGCATGGCTCAAAATAGCTGATTATGTAACTGAATTAACTCACATGTGATGATTGAGTTGAGTTGCATGAAAGTTACTGAGAGGCCCAATCACAATTTTGCTCTGTACATTTTCCACTATTAGTTAATTAGGCAATAAAGTGATCAAAGTGTTCATTCCATTCTTCAAGATTCACATAGTTGAAGTAATAGTTGCTCTTGGCTCTGAACTAGCATTGCTTTCACTTATTTGGCTGTTTTCACTTGAGTTATTTGACAAATTGTCACTGTGGATAAAAATGACTTCCATTCAGGGCTAGAGAATGCATCCACTGCGTCTTTCATCAACTACATCATCTGGGTCTCTCAAATGTTTTATTGCATACTGATGGCTACACCTTAACCCTTGCCTGCCTGTCTACCTGGGTGTCTCTCTTCTTCTTCTTAATGTATGGGCAGCAAAAGGAAACGACTCGCTGTTGTTTCCTGTGGATAATTGACAGAGCAGGTTTGGCAGCTTATGCTCACATGCTGGTTCACACAGAAAATTCACCTCCACGAAACAGATGGGAAGAGAAGAAAAGAAGGGGGAGAGGTGCGTTTTTGTTAAAGAGTGGGTTTAGGGGACCTGCAGCACTCATAATTCAGCATCTTCAAAGATGACATAATGCAGGCATCATTCCAGTTTGGGTTTGTCTTGCATTATGACAAGCTCTTTTGCAAAGTTTAATAAGTTGCTTTCTCCATGGTGTGAGAAATACTTTGTGGATACTCGCCTGGGAGTCTTAAAAGACTATAAACCCACATTTTAAGATGGGAAATAAAATTGATGGAGGACTGCACACAGATTGCTAAATACTTACTCTGGATACAACCAGTATCCAGAAGGGTGCTACTCAATGTAATGACCAATTTTTTTTTCTTCAACATTTTCCAGGTCCCACCCCCTCATTCTGTTCCTTTTTATGATGCATAGTAACTGTGAGAAGTTTCATTCAGATATATTAACATTTACTGGTAGTTCAATGTTTTTTATTTACTTTCATTGCGATAAAATGTTGTTTAATTCAAAATTTCTCTACCAAAGTAAATTAATCCTTGAGTAAGTATTGTTATAATATTTTATATAATTTAACTGTTCTTTTTCATATTCTGATTTGTGTTATTATTTGGTTTAAATACTATGTAATCAGAATAATATTTTTGGGTTAGCACTATTGCAGCCATAGTCAGTAGTATAGTTAACTCTGTGCAAGGTCGCGAAGGGGCTGGAGCCAATCCCAGCTGTCATTGGTGAACCCTGGACAGGTTGCCCGTTCATCACAGGGCTAACTCAGAGACTAACAAGTCATTCACATGTTCACACCTAAGGGCAAAGAGTCACCAATTAACCTATGCATGTCTTTGGACAGTGGGAGGAATCAGGAGAACATGGAAACTCCACAAATAAAGGCCTGGGCCTCAATCCACAGAACCTCTTGCTGTGAGGTGACAGTGCTGTGTGTCATGTTAATCTTAATTATTCTCATTTTTAGCACCACCTACCAGTTATTTTCTGGTACAGTAAAGAAGGACACTTCAAGAGAGGTCACTTAACAAGAGCTTCTTCTGCAGCTGTCGCTTCTATTTGTTGGAGCGCAGTGCGGACGTACACATTTAGGCTCTCAGAGCTTTCCACCGGGCTCGGTGATCTACAGTCTGAACATTTTCCGGTTTCGCCCCCAATTCAAAATGAACTGTCACATATGGTAAATGGGCACCTTTCTAGTCTTTTCGACCACTCAAAGTGCTTTACACTACATCACATTCACCCACCTATGAGCAGAGACCCAACTGCTCATCAGAAACAGAAAATTAACTCATTCACACACTGATGGCACAGCCACCAGGAGCAATTTCGGGTTCCCAACCTTCCTTTAAGGGGACGACCGTTCTACCCGAGTCAAAGCCATAATTATGCCTATCTATCTATGCCACAATTAAGGTCTATCTGAAAGTCTATCTGGTTTACATGTGCATGTGTTTCGTCCAATTCATAGAAATCTGCAGTTACTCTGTGAGCTGGACAGCTAACCTACAAGAAAACACATGTAGCTGTTTTTTAAGCTGCAATACAGTCATTCTGTGGACACTTCTGAATACTTAAGTGTTTATTATTAACTTATGAAGTAACCGTTAGCAGCTATGTGTCTTCTTTTTGAGGAGTTTTACATTATTCTAACTTGTGATATTAAAGTTAATATTACCTGATAAAATCGGAAAATGTTGAATATTGTAAAACTTTGTCAGTGTTGAGCTACCAGTAAAAATTATTAGAAAACATTCAAATTTTGTCAACTTAGTTTTGTCACATTAACACATTTGGGGGGTGGGAAGATGAAAATTAGAAACTTCATTTTGGAGTGGCACCCTAGTATCCAGTGTAAGTTGTTTTTCTGCCCTGTGCGTTTGGCACATTTCTACTCTAATTCTTTTGTTCCACTTGATATCCTTTCATCTGTCCAACCCCATATGTGGACAAGGTTGAATGATTCTGTTATTTCATATGAGAATAGTGACAGTGACAATTAAGCTGTAGTTGGTGAGTTGGAACAGCTTGATTGGACAGAGGGACTTATCCAGATTAGTCAAATGGGAAGTAGGCTACATGATAATTACTCCAACCGTCAACTTGGTAATGACAGGACACACAAAAAATGTATTTAGATGGAGGATTTGTTTCTTACTGTAAGAGCTTTTCTGATTCTATATACCCGTTCTGTAGGGACTCCCACCTCTCATCCACTTGCCCACCCGTGGGCTGCTCATAGCAGCAGGCTTCGAGGGATTGGGTTAAAGCTCTCCAAATTTATTACCCCTCTTTCTCCAAACTAAATATTTACCCTGCGTCCCATAGCAGCTTACAATAGTCATGTCTGTTACCGGACCACTGGAGCCTGTCCTGTCTGAATGGCTCAAGAATTTGGTTGATGCCCTTTGCCCTAATCAGCAACCTGTGCTGCTGACACAAATTCAGCCATAAGCCTAAAAAGGAGTCGACCTACCGATGTTTTTATTGCTTCTCCCTCCCCCAGTCAAAGGAAGCCTATCTCATGTTGTATCACCACTATTACTCATGGCCGGAATATGCAGGCAGATCAATCACGATCAATCATGTACATGACCTTGATCTAGAGCTCAGCCTGAGGAGACGCTATTGAGGATGACGCATCGTGCTCTCGAACCCTGACATGAGATGATTGATCCTATGATGGGAGTCGAGTAGGTCTCTTTTAGTAAACTGCTGCACAGAGTGATTGCATGCTCATTCCCAGTCCAGAGGGATCCGTGCCAGAATTACAGGAGTGCATTTAAATGGTTGCCAGGTAATGTGCACTCTGTGCAAGTTTTTGCATTGAGGGTGCAGGCTTTCGTTCAAAAACACTACCACAGAGATCTGGGGAATATTATGATGTCATTTGCGGACTTAGATGTTTCCAGATTTCAAAGTGGAACCTCAAAAAGGGTGGTTTTGATGAACTACTTAGTTAGAGAGTGTAAGGTGACGTGGCAAACTTTCTCTTGTTTTCTGAATTTGCTGGCTTTGTCACTCAATGCAATTGATCCTTAATTTTGAGAAGAACCAGACATCCCTGAGAGGTTTTTTAATTGGTCCAAAGATGAATTTGTCTTTTCATCTTTAATTCTTTATGATTCTTGCCTGTAGCACATCTGGGCTCAAGACTCCCCTTTCTCCACTCCCCTTTCTCCACTCCACATTATTCTAGTCACTCACAGTTTATTGTCACCTGCCTAAATTGACCACAAGTGCTGACCAGCACATAATTTACAGTTACCGGTCCCAAAAGGACCCTCAGCACAGTAATGCGACTCTGCACAGTAAACTAGTAACTCTGCAGGTCATAAAAGATTGGGCTGTCGAAAATAAGAACAGAAGAACTTCTTAAAGTCCAATGAAAATGTTTAGAAAACTGTCTGGGACCTGATATCCGGCCAGAGTGCATGCACCCATCATGAACGTGCAATCAGGCTCATCCACCAAGCTATCTAAAGACAGTCGTAAACAGTTCCTCCAGATTTCAGTCCTCCATTGTGAGTTGTCCACGGCCTGATCTACCCTTTCTACACCAGGTGTTAGTCACTAAATGACCTTCGACAGGTTGAGGTGCTCTTTATCAATTCAATCGCAACAGCTCTGTGTTGTGCCCATTCATCACCTCATGTTTTAACCCTGAACAAAGACGTGGAAACAACATGTCCTCATGCAGCGTCCTACTTTTTTTTTTTTTTTTTTTTTTTTTTTTTTTTTTTTATTTATTTTTTTACACAGTTTGTAGCTGAGACATAGAGGA